AGGGCTGGGGCGCAGGAGGTGCGGGTGCCGGGGGGGAAAGAGCCCAGGGCTGGGGCAGCAGAGGATGCGGGGGGGGGAGGGTGAGAGGCCAGGGCTGGGGAGGCAGGGGGTGCAGGTGGGGGCCAGAGCTGGGGCAGCAGGGGGTGTGGGCAGGGGAGAGTCCAGGGCTGGGGCAACACGGGGGTGCGGGGGGGAGCTCAGGGCTGGGGTGGGGGGGCTCTGTCCCTACCATTCACAGCAAGTTGCAGCATGCAGTTTCAGGTCCACACTCCTTCCCCCTCCCTTTCCTGTTAATTGCGGCCGAGGGAATGCTGGGAAATGTAGTTCTTTCCCTGCTCCAGGGCTGGCTCTATAGGCAGGGCGCTAACCAAGGAACTACAGCTCCCAGGGACCCCTGTTGGTTCTCAGCTCCCAGGCTGGGTTCTTGCACCCCTGCAAATTTGCTGCCCCAAGCACCTGCTTGCTTTGCTGGTGCCTAGAGCCGCCCTGATGCAAGTGGACAGGGGAAGTGTTGTGAGGAACTGTTTGCAAAGGTGACCTTGCCCTTCACTGACAGAGTATATTTACCCGGCCACTCCAAGCAGAATCCTGCTTGGTTACTCATTGCTCTTGAGTTTCAACTAGCTGTGGTGATCAGAAAATCCTGCTGCTACCTTCCATTGGCCAAACAATTATGTTCATTCCTTTCTGATGTGGACCCAGCCACAGAGACCCATGAATGGGCTGCAACCTTCTCTATCTGGGCTTACCAAGGCGCTGCGCCTTCTAAGCAAAACTGTCTATAAAAAATTAATTAATAGAGATATGCCAATCTCCTAGAACTGGAAGGAACCTTGAAAGGTCATTGAGTCCAGCCCCCTGCCTTCACCAGCAGGACCAAGTACTGATTTTGTCCCAGACCCCTAAGTGGCCCCCTGAAGGATTGAGCTCGCAACCTGGGGTTTAGCAGGCCAATGCTCAAACCACTCAGCTATCCCTCCCCAAATGATTGGTTAAATGATGGGTCCATTTCTAGGTGCTTGCCCTGAATGGGCTAGAGTCCAGAGACCTCTGGGGCCACCTGTCTTCTCCATTCCCCACTATCCTTCCTATACTCAGCTGGGACACTGAGGGTGACAGAGCCCAGATTTCATCTTGTGACAGCAGAAGAACAAGGTTCTTGGTGAAAAGCCCACGCTTGTGACAACAACTTCCCCAGCATATCAGCTTGATACGCACATCTCACTACCTCGACAGGATTCTGCAAGAAGACACCCGCTTAAACCAGCATTTCCCCATGCAACCAGGTTGTAACGACACCATCCCCCCACATCATCAGCTACCAATGGAAGAAGACAGATTAAAGGGAGAAAGGTTCAGAGTTTTACCTCCTACATGTAAAATGAAGGATCAATACCCTGAGTCACTCACCCACTAGCGATGAGCGAGACAGCAATACTTATGGATAAATCAAATCAAATAGTGCATTCAGGGAACAATGCCAAAGCCTCCTTGTCGTTAACTTCACCATGTCAATTCAGATACAGGACAAGAACAGACTGTATAGCTGAGTGGATAAGGTCTCTGGATCAAATTCTTCCTGGACATAAGCAGACAAAACTCCCATTGAAATTGCTGGGAGTTGCAACCACTCCCACCAGAGTGGGATTGGACCTTGGGGCTTTCAAAGGTGGTGAATTCAAATCCTGTTACATGAGGAGACTTTGTTCTCTTGGCATCAAATGAATTGTTATATTTTCACTACTTAATTGTCATCAACCACCAAAAATGCGACTTTATCCTTCAAACACTTAGTATCTGGAGTGGTGCTTTCTCTCATGTAGGCAGTTCTCCTCCTGCTCGTGAATATTTACAGGATCCGGGTCTTGCTTTGTGTTCAATGAAAGTATTTAAATAGTTTTTTTCCTCAATGAAGTAACAAGTCATACAGTATATCATAGATGGTTTGGTTGGTTATTAACTATTTGATTGTATTATTTATGTAGTACCAACACTGTACATTAAATGTTACATGCACGCAGGTCGTAATGTGAAGATCCTTGCTGGTGTCCATCAGATTAGCTCCACTGGCTTCAACAGCTGAGGATCTGACTGGTGGAGAGAGGACTTTGCAAATCTATATTTCTTTGCATTGTTTAGTTATTGGCCAGAAAACGCTTTGAAACTGGCAGGTGCTGTATTCCATACAGTGGTTGCCATTTGTAACAGGTTGAGGCACTCACCAGCATGGCGCCTCCTGCTGGTCCATTTGGGAATTAGGTTTCAGAGTAGCAGCCGTGTTAGTCTGTATCTGCAAAAAGACCAGGAGGACTTGTGGCACCTGAGAGACTAACACATTTATTTGAACATAAGCTTTGGTGGGCTACAGCCCACTTGGATGTAGCCCACGGAAGCTTAGGCTCAAATACATTTGTTAGTCTCTAAGGTGCCACAAGGACTCCTGTTCTTTTGGGGAATTAGCTCAGCTAGCTCAGGAGCGCCCTCCTCTGGCCGGTTTCCCTGCCCTTACCTGGCTCTCTGCAGTCCCTTTATCTCCACCATGTGTAGGCCCCTCATCCCTCCTGGACCATGGTGCCCCTTTCCTTAAGGTGCTGCCCCTCAGCCAGGGAACCCCACTCCCCTGAGCCCACCTCGCCTCAGTGACTACTGCCTGTCATCATCTAGCCCCGTCTCTCAAAGGGCAAACTGCAGTCTGAAGTGGCCACTCATCACTTGCCCTGACTGCCTCCCTGCAGCCCTAGTACCTCCTCAGGCCTTTGCTGCAAGGCTGTGCGGTCGCCAGGCCAGAGCTCCCCAGCTCAGCCTGCCCTTTCCCAGCACTGCTCTGTCCAAGGTACCCCAGTCTCTACCAGGCAGCTAGGTCCTTCTTGCTCCACTGCTGAAGCAAGACTCACCTCCTTTTCCCCAGGAGCCCTTCTTATACTGGCCCAGCCAGGCCCTGATTGGCTGCCTCCAGCCCGCTCGTGATTG